TTCTTTCACTCACTCACTCAGAAGGGGCCAATTGTATGAAGTAGCAAAAGGTCCTGGAGAGGCCCTGAGGCTCAAACAGGACGTAAAGAGAGCCTTCACGGGGCGTGAAAAAAGCCCTCCTAGGCCTATAGGATGTTTTCCGCTCCCCCTGGGGCTTCATTCTGGCCCTGTGCCCCCGAAGCGCGTTTGAAGCCATTAAGGGGGCCCTTTGCATCCCGTTGGCGAAGGGTGGGGGGCTTTTTTTGAGACCTGTCCGGCCAAAGGGCTCGTGCAGTGATCCAAAAAAAGCCCGCAGTTGGGTCGAGAAGGCTTTTTTCGGGACATGGGGCGTCAAGAGTGGCCCGTTGAAAGCCCACCGTCGGGTCGAGAAGGGTTTTTATCGGGACGTGTAGGTGGCACGGGAGGCTGGGTCCGGGCTGCGCAGGGCGGAATTAAAGCCCTATCAAGGCAGGGCGAGGTTTTTTCTCGTCCTGGGTGCATGGCAGGGGATAGAAAAAGCCGTGGGTTGGCGAGGAGGGCTTTTTTCGGACCCTGTCCACGAGGGGGGCGACCAGGAGGCCGGCCCAGGGCGCAGAAACAGCCTTCGAAAAAGGGTCTAAAAAAAACCCTACGGGTGGCAAAAAAAACCCAGCCCTCAGCGAAACACAAGCCCCCCAAGTTGCAGATAAGCATCGGCAGGTGCAGGGTCGCAAGCCACAAAGTGGCCCAACGTCAGCCTGCTCTCGCGGGGATCTCTTTGCACAGGTTCTTGGACGTTCTGCTGAAAGCCCCTTAAACAGCTCGTCTTCCCACAACACTGTTCGGTTTTGATGTTCTTCGCAGCATCCTTCCCTTGCACCTTTATATGACTGGTTGTCCTCGCAAATCTCAGCCAGGCCTGCGCTGAGGCTGTCGGTACAAGTCCTGGCAACTTGAAACCGCTCGGCAGCAGCACGCTCTTCAAGCAAAGGGCAACTTGACATGGAAAGTTCGGTAAAACTCTGATGGTCCCATTTTTTGGGGGTGAGGGGGGGGGTGTTCGCTACATGTTTTGCTCCATACGATGACAGGGATGCCATGGGCTCTGCTGGGCCTTCTTTCGTCCCCACTCGGGACGACTGATAGGCATAACGGCATAAGCCTTTGAGATTTGTGTCAGATTGAAAACCCCAGGCTTGACCTGCGAGGCTCGGCCTCATCGCCGACCATTTGCGTCCAGTCTGCTCGTGCTTGGGCATGACGGAGGAATGGTTCCTGGGTATGCTGGTCACCGCCGTGCCGGTAGATTCTAGATGGCTCACTGCCACATGAATCTTTTCCAGAATCAGTTGCCTTGGGTTTCGACTCTCTGCTTAGATTTGGGACTCTGAAGCTACCGCCGAAGAGAGATGAATCAGCGAGCCCTACTCAAGAACATGGCCGCCAGAAGCCCACAGCTCAAACAATGCCAAAGATCGCTGGGGATTGGATCCCGCCCTCGAGAAGAACTCCGCACTCGGCTGGCGCTCCGTGAGCGATGCCAAGGGGGCGCCTCCAAAGCAGTCCGAAGCAAGGAACGTTTTGGAAATCCCACCCACCAGGCATGATTGCTCGCACAGTCAAGGCCTCGTAGCTACGGCTTCGCCCACGGCTGTGGCCTCGTGACCTGTGAGCAGGAAGCTTGAACAGTGCAAACTCCCATCTGAAACATCTTGCCTAACCGTGCCTCGCCAAACAAGTTCATGCAACGCAACCAGTACCCCAAGAACCCGAGGCATGGTCCCATGCAAAGTGCACGAACCCCTCGAACCCCTCGGACCCATTCAACTGCCGAGGCGCTGAGCGCGGAGGCCCCCAGTAACATGGCGCTGGAGTCTGCTGCGCGCACGGGTCCCAGGGTCATCACCTCGCTAATAAGATATGTGATAACCACGCTAGTTGAGCAGATCATAGTAGATCTATGTCAACGATTTTCAGAGCCTGGAGATGACAAGGGTTCTGCAAAACCCTGGCATGAAAAGCGCAGTGCCCGAAACTAAGGCATGGCTTGAAGACCTCAGACTCTGGTCCAAAACAGTTTGGGGTTTTACGTAGGGCTTGCTGTTGTTGGGCGTTTTCTCGCTTGGTTTTTGGTTGCCACGTACCTAGCTGACACTCACGATGCATTGCATGGCACTGACCGGCAATCGATAAACGGTTCAGGAGAACATAGGAGAACGTACCTCGAAAGTGCAGCAGAAAATCTCAGTTGAGCTTACGTCATTCAGGTTCAAGGTCCGAAAATGGCCTGGAGATGGCACGGCTTGTGCGGGATGCCCCGTAAATGGGCCGCTGAGCGCACTCCGAAACCTTGGCTGGCAATTTCCTCACCGATTTTAAACGCCGTTCTCATGCAGGGCCTTGCAAAGACGAAAATAACCTTATGAGGTAATCTCTTGGGCTCTTACAGCTGGAAGGTGGCTCATGTTATACGTGGCTGCGAGGAAAACAGGGTTACATTGAAGATGACCATGTCTGGTGGTTCCTACAAGGGGTAGAGTTATCTTGCCTCACCCGGTGAGAATATGCATCATCCCAAGTAGACGCTGCATAGCAGAAAAATGGCATCAATCGCAGAAAAATGCATCAAGGAATGCGAATCCCCAAGTAGACGCTGCGTTTGAAGTAGCTGTGTAGAACCTGCAGAAACCTCGCCTATGTGGCTGTAGCAGCCACCACGGTGTTGACGCGTTTTCCATGCAAGTACATGCTACAATTTCAGGCAGGTATCGCCAGGGAGACGTTTTTTTTTGGAAGCCACCGTGAAACACGTAGAGCATATTACATAACAGCCCAGGCCTCTGGTTCAGAATCCGAAAGAAGTGCTTTTTGTCGGTTGAAAAGGCTTGGTGGATCAGGCTACTGTAATTACGGTGCCGGCAGTTTCACGATACTGGGCGCGGCATTCTCCTTAACATACCGAGCTCTAGACCCATAGCACCGATGAGGTCATCCCCACAGAGATGCTGGATTCTATGGGTATGTGAATCTGCTCTGGACCAAACAGTGCGACCGAAACGGTTGTGGCAAAGAGTACAGGTAGACTCAAAAAAATGGTGTTCTAGAGATACACAATGTAGACGCGGCATGGAGCACCTGTTGCCTGCTCTGCTAAATCGCCATGCAAACAGCAAACTGCAGGTAGACGCTGGCGAGACAGCTAAGTAGTGCATGGTGCTAAACACATACACACGAGCATGAAACCTGGCAATATCAGGCAAAAGGCGAACGTCACAAGAAGACATTAAGACTCAAGCTTATGCAGCTGCGTAGGAGGCTGGAAAGTCGCCGGTCCGCGGGGCGGGGGCATGTGCACTACTGAGCACTAGGCATCTCAAGACTTTTGACATGAACGCCCCACAAGCATCAACAGCTCACATGGCAAGACCCTTCACGCCAGGGCTCTGCGCAAAGGATGAGTCCATGACAAAGGCCACGGGCGCTAGGAAAACGACTCTGATGGCATGGAGTCTGATGGCACATGGAGTTTATGGGTTGGGGGGTTGGGCTAAGAGGGGGGTCGAGCTGAAGTTCTGAAGGTGGAGGCTGCCCCAATGTGGTTTCTGGGCTGCCTAAGGGCTAAGGTTTGAGCCGCCGCTACTTTCCAAAGTGCCCATGGAGATATCTCAGACTCTGCACTTTCTAGCTGATTCTAGCTCTTATGGAGCACTAGGACTGCAAGGGTTCTCAGTGCCGTTTCTATGCTTCGTGTGGCCTTGAGACATCATCCTCTCTGTACATGTAAGTTCGGTACTGCAGCGGCTGCGAATTACATCACATGCCCAAAACAGCAGGACTTCACACTCTGACAAGACAGGCAACCGTCCGTACTGCGACGGGCTCAAGCGTTGACAGGGAAGCTAATCCAGCCTTTCGTACTTCTGAAATCAGCGTAATAGAAAAGACTACCAGACCTACTGCTTCCCTTTCTCACGGCGGTGCCACACCTACAACAGCAACAGCACCTGGGACCAATGAAGTCGGCCGTAGCAGGCCTTATCAGCCCTGACATCGCTTCTTCTCCAACCTGAGAGATAAACCTCAACTCGAAGCCCACAGCATCGGCTACGCCGGCGCCTGGAAGAAGTCCTGCCATCAAGCTGCTTGAAGTTCCTGTCCTGGGCCTTCAGACGAGTGTTTCGTTTCGGCCTTTGCACATGTCACACATTCTCTACAAGCGGCATAAGTTGGATGTGGAAGCAACCCCAGTTCATCAAGAAGCTGGGCTTGTTGGAGTTTGCATAGGCCAGCCCGAACACAAACTCACCAGCTCGGGGCACCCAACTTCCACGCAGAATGCCATAGAATGCTACAACTTTAGTCAAAGCATGTCAAAGCCCTTAGAAAGATGAGAAGCCCGAAAAGATCCCGAAAAGTGTGCGCTCCGCATCTTTTGTTCCCGCATCGGGCCTGTCCGAATCTCTGGGCTCTGATCTGATCAAATAGTAACTGATGCCGTGTTCATGCCCTTGATTTGATCCCGAACTGCCGATCTGTCTTTGTCACGCCCTTCGCAGGGCAGTCTATCCACTGAGCTGGTGAAACCAGGGACATTCGGGTGCACACGTCTGCATGACGATTCGCTTTGGGGAGGAGGCTCGCATGCCAGGTCAGACTGGGGCTTCTGCAACATCCAATAACAAGCGTGTGGGTTCCTCCGCTGTTGCAGTGGCTAGACTAGCAACTTGAAGGAGACTTGCTTGTGGTAACCTGACTGCCAGCAAGGCTAAGTTTGTGCGTCCGACGAGGAAGCGTCGTCGCTTTTGGGCCTTGGAGCGTGCCCCTCATTGAGCAACACTTGCTGTGTGCTGTCGTCGTGGTCTCGGGTTCTAGGTTGGCTCCTAATGCATCATTGATAACTTGTGATGGTCCCGGACATCTCATCATGATCAAGGTTGTTGCTGTCCAAAGAACACTGTTTACAGTCGTAGATGCTCGTTACTCGTTGCAGAGCTAGGCCGACGGCTGTGTCCATGACGAGCATTTTGCCCCAGCTGACCAACCTACGCTGCAGGAGAGTGCTCCACATACCCCCCACTGCCAGTTGCTGCAGCACCGTCACTGGTCGCGGATGCGGAACCCATGTTGGCCTCCGGAAGGCAACGCCGATCAGTACTGACAAGTGTTCTTCATGACTACGCGGTCTTGCAAAACGGAGGAGAGCACTGATTAACTCGCGGAGTCCTAGCAAGTCGTTCCTGTTACAGGTACCTTGCAACAACACTGTCAAGCCCACTCCTATGCTCTCAAGGCTCGATGACTTGAGATCACAGGTCCGTGTCCATACCAAAACTTGAAATCCGAGACCGGGTTCCAGCGCAGGTTTACCTGTGAACCACGACCCCGGGATGGACGTTTCATCCCCAGATGATGTGCCGCGGGTGCCGCGCAGAAGCAGGGACAAGCAAGCACGGACAAACACACTCGGGACATGGCCTTCGCTTGCTCTGCTATAGCGAGCAACTGAGCCAACTCAGCTTTGACCTGGCAAAGCCCTACAATCTCTGTGCAGAATTGGTGGATCAGTCATGCAGAAACTTCTTGTGACTGTAGAAGGCTAAGGGTCAACTTTAAGCCTCTGACCTCAACCTTTTTGAGCTAAGCAAGAGTATGGTGCTTCTTCCTAAGCCTCCATATTGAATAAATAAGCAAGCCAACCTCTTTCTTTCTCCCTCTCCCAGGCATTCGAGATGTCAAGCCAACCCCAAAATCTCCATCTCTGCAGCCCCACTTGGGAATCCGACTGCAAACTCGTTCCCGCGCCTGTCCCTGCAGCTGATCTAATCGCTCACGACCTCGAGTTGCCACGTGGTGTGACGAGCGTTTCGTGATTTCGGCTTGCCTCGAAGTGCCTATTAGCCCATCAAATCACACGCCATGTGCCCCGAAGTCTAAGAAGAAAGTTGTGCCAGGTCACTCGGCACTTCTGGTATTTCTGCCAAACACTCCTTGCAGGGGGAAGTATGGGCTTCGAAAGTTTGGTCGAAGCCCTCTTGGCTTCGACAAGAAAAAAACCTCGATTCCGTGCCGGCTCTCCAAAAATGTTCCCCAATGAGACCTCGCTGGTCTTCTGCGCGAAGATCTCCAGAGTCTTGGCGTAAGCGGTCACGGCCGGTCTCAGTTGGCCTCGCAGAGGCTTGCATTCGACACCGGGAGCGAAGATAAAAAAATATAGTCTGGAAGAATACAAAAGAACATAAAGCAATTTAGCATCCACCGCGTCGGCCTGAGACGAGCTTGGCTGGAGCGCACCGCGCCAAACAAACCCGTGGATTTGGGTGTTATAAGAGTGACCGAACGTAGCCTAACCGGCCTAATAATCATCAAATTGTGCAACACCCCCTCACAGCCCTCGGAGCTGGCTGAGCTGACTTGGAATTTCAGGGCAAACAATGAGAGCTTAAGCGATTTGCTTCCTGCAGTGTGCTGCCTTAAGGGGGGGGGGGGGGGGTAGGTTTGGGCAGACGTGCATGGTGATGACCCTGCCCTCACATCTGATGAGCTATCAACCTCCCATCGTTCCAAACCGGGCTGTTTGTCTCGGACCTTCTGCCCGCAAGCATCGTGCCAGGGCGAGGTTCGCCAAAGCTAAAGAAGCATGGTTCTCGCCAAGGATGCGCTGGGCAATCTCCAATGCGCCTTGAGGCAAACCAAGAGCTCTGCATGGAGTTTGTAGCTGGTTCAGGTCCAGGGGCCGACTGCGCCACGCAGCACGGCTGCGCATCTATAGAACCCAGAAAACATTGAGGGCCTGTGCAAGAGAATGTCCTAAGAGCCTGGCCATGTCCGGGACCCTCAACCCTCTTCTGCAGGACCACTAGGGACGACGGGTAGTGTTACAGGCGAAGTTGCGCGTTAGGATTGAAAAGTCTCACATGCAGAAAGACTAACAACTGGCAGCCAAAGCTGGGTTGAAGTCTTCTAAACAACAATCGGAAGTGCTTCAAGGAACTTGGATTTATATCTTTGCCATGCTTGCTCGAGTGTGCCGGCGGTGCGTGGTGTGTGTGGTGCGCGCGTGGGGGACAACCCTTTCCTTTCGGGTATTCGTTTAAGCCAATTCTGCCAGGGATCGGGATCTGAGAAGTTAGTGTTTCTTGCTGGGCGGCGCAGCACCCACACACACACAGATGCAGACTGGCTACTCTGCGTCTCTAAACGCGCAGGGTTTCCAACAAACTTCGGTCAAGGCGCGGGCACTGAGGCTGCGCGCCTCCTGGGCCTTGCCCTGCGCCAACAGGCCTTGGTGGCTGCGTCACACTAACCGAGGCGCCCCCCCCCCAACACCATGAGAAGACTAGAGGCACTGCGACGCATTCTGCAAGATCTGCGCGGCCTACAAGGACGATCAAGGACATCTGACCTACTTTGCGGGTGGGCTTTGTATCGTGCAGCACATTCATCCGCAGCTCAGTGCTGTGGATCTTTTGCGAGGGCTTGCAGGCTGCAGATGCCTGGTAGGTGGCGACTTTGTCATCACCATTCGTCGAGAGACGGTAGGCTTCGTTGAAGGCAGTGCCAGCTTTGTCCAACCTTCCATAAAGCGAAGCAGGGTGATGCCCTGTGTCGGAGCCACAACAAAAGCCACTGTGACAACGAAGATAACCACAGGGGAACTGTCGGGCTTGAAGGGACTGGATACTGGGACCCTAGCTAGCGATCGGGGTACAACGTCACCGGAGTTTCTGACAGAACAAAGCCGTTCCACACACAGCCGCAGCCTTTGTGCATTTTTTAACGCGATGCCCAGGTTGTTCTGGGCGTTGGACAACGCTTCACGCTCCTGACAGCGCATCTCTGCCTACTGGCACTCCTTCGTGGTCGTAGGCTTCCAAACAACTGACGGAAACGCATGCCGCATGAGTGAGGTGTGCAGTTTGCCGAGTCGGATACTCATGATCAGCAGGTCTTGGTTGGCCGTCCTCAGCCACGTCCATGGAAAACTCCTCCGTCTCCATGCCAACTACTACCTGCCGCAAGACACGCCATGCTTGATTCAGCGAGAACCTTGGAGTCCTCGCTGGGGTGGCCTGCTGACTTGTGTACTTTGACCGTATGTGTTACGAACAGGAACGAAAACAAAACATCTCTTTACCGCAGGAGCCTCCCAGGTGGACACGGCATCCGCCCACCGACGTAGGCGGAGCTCAACCTACTCAGCTTCGACCGCAGCAGCTTCAAGCTTCCGGTTTTTTGAACAGCTTACAAAGGGGGATCCATGAGGTTTGGAAGCATGGCGCTGCGACGCTATGAAGCCTGTTACCTTTCAAGACTTTCCCGTCCGGGCAACAACTCTGTGAACTGCCAGCAATCGCCGCTGCAGCAAACCCTCAGGTTCTTAGGATTCTGTGACCAAAAAACATGCCGGCATAGACTTCCAAAGAGCTGAACTCCCATCTGCCTTGCCCTGAAGGGATGCTGCGTTGATCTCTTCACGTTTCGCACCCGCAGCCCGAGCTGCAGAGCGTGCCTCGGAAAACATGGAGAGCTAAGCCTAAGCGCAATTGCAGTGCAAGGGTGCAGGCTCCAGTGCATCATTTTCAATTTCAACACGAAAATCATTCCCGGAACGTTTTCTGGCTATTTTGCAGGCATGGGCGCTTCAAGCTTTCTAGAATTTCGTCGTGCCGAACATTTCCACAGATCTCACTTTCAGCTCTTGTACATGCGCATGTTCCGCATAATTCTGTATGCGATGATAGCAACACCGGGTCCGGTGCTTGCTTGTCGCAGCAGGTGGTCCCTCTCGTGTCGTGTCGGGCCTCTGCAAGCAAGGGCAGCGCGCTTTCCACGTTGCCGGCCGTCACCAGCGCCCTGGCCTGCTTTGGAATTTGAGGCTGTCGGGGGAACCTTTGGACTTTGGAGAGTGCAGCGATGTGCGTTCCCGTTTCAACACCTCAGGATCCGGGATGGCAGAAACTTTCCTAAGGCCTATAAGCCCTTTTTTGGGGTAGTGTTAACTTTGTGGCGAGTCCTCGGTCCTCAGCTCAAAAACCACTCATCTTCACTCCCCCCCCTAGGCATTGCCAAGACGATAATGCCGGAGCCGGGCCTTCCGACCAAAACTCCAAGCCCAACTCAGCCACTCTTCACCTCTATCAACAGCCTGCGCCCCTCTCCACATCCCTCAAGCGCAGGAGTAGAAAGGTGAACAGTTGACCAACGCGCCTCAAGCTACAACAAGCGAGAGAAAAAAGCGGAATAAGAGACTAAACGCCACACTGGCTCTCAAACTCTGCATCTTAAGACACCTCGAGAGCCAAAGAGATGACACCAAGATGACACCACGGGCAACACCACGTCACCACGCGCCTGGTCGGTGAGAGCCTTGGCCCCGCTCGGCCCTGCTGAGCGTTGCAAGCGTTGCTGCTCCGCTTCCTCCTCCTGAAGAAACGCGATCTTATCCCAGTGCCACATATCCTTGACACCACTTATGCAAACCCAAAAAAACCACGCCACTTGATTCCCTCAACCTCAACCTGAAACCAATTTGCCTGCCAGCTCGGTCTGTGCGAGGGGTCTTCCGGCGCCAAGCACTGAGTTCGAGCGAACGTCCGAAGCCCAAAAGCCCCAAGGAGCCACCATAACTGATATGATGCCCCTCTGACCCCCTCTCCCTCTCCAGAGTCAAAGTTGAACCCGAATCCTGAAACCGCTTTATACACAGCCCTACAGTACAGCCTGCACTCGCCGCTGCTCCAGAGCTTGCACAGCGGCGTCAATTTCGCGCCCTCGGCAGGCCACGGCAAAATGGTTCCACGGCTTTCGCGCGCTTTGGCCGCTCGAGTCAGTCTTTGTGGGCTCGTTTATCATCGTAGTGGCCGCGCCCGCCAGACCAGATTTTCGTCGTCTTCATGAATCTGCTGCGCTTGGAACTATTTTTCTTGTTTTCATGCCATGTTCATAATGTTCCTTGCTGACCACGGGTGTCCAATAACAAATTTCACAGGTTCCCGGATCCGCACATAGCGCCCCGCAGTTGCATGTGCCTGAAGTAGGGAAGTTCGGCAATTTTCCAGATCCAGATCTGAGGCCTTCAACGCATTACTTTGAGAACCAGTCCCTTGTGTTGCCTGCAGAGTAGTGGCCCCCAAGACATAGCCCCAACTGCCCTAAAACCGAGCTGCCAAGCTTGAGCAGCGCGGGCTCGGTTGGAAACCGCGCCAAACCCATCTTCAGGGCCTCATAGATCGAGGCCCCTACATGCCGGCACTCTCAAAGCCAAGTTCGGACATCTAGAAAACCTCTCAGAGGCCTGGCTACAAAGTCTGGGCCTTGGGACTGAAGCTGCAGTTTGAGGCTAATGAGGGTTGAAAGGCTGGGGGTTATCGGATTTGGTTCAAGGAGTGTTCTGCTGGGTTTTCAGGCGAGCCAGGTGAAGACCTGCTTAAAGGAGCATGATGTGTGAACCATGCAATGGCAATCTCTGGACACGACCGGATCTGCATTCCATCTGGTTTGCAGTCACGATGCCATTTTCTTATGCTGCAGTGCCCTCGCCTCTGTTGAAAAGGTCCCCCCCCTAAACCCTCAGCGCCTTCCCAGTGTCGTACACTCATCCTAAGGCTCCCCCACATACATCTGCTCTCAGATTTGAATTAGTGGGGGGGCCGGGACGCGATCTTGGATCTTTCCCTTAAACGGGTGCCGCAATGTCACAATCCCTAAGCCCCGACTCAGGGAAAAACCACGTGTGGGAGAAAACCCTGCGCCGCGGGCACCACGCGACTCGATGCATTGACTGAGGCGCGAAACAAGGACGAGAGCAGAGAGCCACTGTAAAAGACCATTAAAACAACGCCTCGCGGGCTTCCCGGCAGCGGCCACGGCGGAAGCGCGCCCGGGCAAGCTGGAAGTGGCCCCTCGGGGGATTTTCTGGGATTGAAACAGGGCACGCAGCTCCTGTCTTTGGGGGTATGCTTCAGGGTGCTTATCGGGGTTCTGAGGTCTTGCGAGGGCAAAAGATACGCAATAGCCCGGAAGTAAACTGGGACATTGATCTTTGCTTCATGGCTTCGTGGTGGGGTGCAAACAGCTTTGACTAGAAACTGAAAAAATGTAAAGGTCATTAAACAGGAAAGAACCACACAAAGAAGCTCGTGCAACTCGCATGCGAATCGTGGACGCCTTTGCATGCACTTCGCACACGATGCTCTCCACGACTCTGGTTCGAGGGGATTGGAGAACCCCGCTCGCACCTTCATTCCCACCCTGCTCTCAACTAGACGCCCTCCCGCCTTAATGCTCTCTGCATGAAGGCTGCCAAGGATCTTGGAAGATGGTTGGTCCTCTTGCAGCTCCACCGCATTCGCTGCATCGGCCTCGGACGCAACAGTAGCACGGCTGGAGCTTGTATCGAGCATCCGGAATTTCCTGAGTTGTTCATGATTGACGCCAACAGAGTCTGAAGGTCAATGCGCCCAGCTTCAATCGCTGATCAACCGCTACCAACAACTCAAGTCCATCGAAATGACCGCTGCTCCTTCCTTTAGCTTTGCTGGCCTTCTGCATCCAGCTAGTAACTTCAGTGCCTCCGCATCCTTCCAGAGCTCCAGCGCTGCATTGGCAATGGCCCGGTTTAGATGGTAGGTGGCCTCAGCCCACCCGACACGAGGGGTGCCATCACTGCAAGAATCGTAGCAAACAAAAACCGCTAAACCCTTTGAAGCGTGGACTGAGGAACCCTCCAATGCTGGGCCAGGCTGCGTTCTCCGGATCGATTTTGATCGCCTTCGTGTAATACTTGACAGCTTTCGGATACTTCCTGATATGTCAAGAGGAAAGAGAAGTCGTGCATCATTCCTATGTACGGCCGCTTTGGAGCAAACGCCTTATGCGCCTTTATTATTTGGGTCTGTGCACCAGCTGCTTCATCAAGACTTCTGGCTTGTAGCTCTAGCTTTGGGTTACCGGATTGGTTGGACTTTTGCTCAAAGGCTCTTCTTGCCCATGGCGCGATTTCCTTTCTTCTTCTTCATCTCCGCATCGCTGGTGCTCCCGGAGCTCTCCTGCTCGGTGTTTGTAGGGATGCAACAAAAGACTGATTGCACCCCCCGACCCTACCTGCAAGATGCGAGAGAACGCGATTCTGAGAGTCTCGTCTCTACCGTCTTTTTCTGGCCCGCTTTGTTGGCCTCATCGCTCGTTGTCGGAGGCGTTGGCGGGGTTTGCTTGCAGCCAAAGATGTGGGACATGGCGGAGGGCACCCTATGCTTCGTAGAGCTTTACCGTGTAGTTTGTCTGCCGGGGAGGTGAAAAAAGGGTTGGGCAGGAGGCCTTAGAATGGAGGTCTGAAGTACACCCCACAAAGCCCTTACGCTCTGACTGGGCTGCTCGAGGAAGCATTTTGAAAGGGCAGGCGCTTGTAACAGTTCAAAGCATGTCCGCTGCAAGTGATAGTCTGCATAAACGGAGGTCTTGGGTTGCCTATGACTATTATCTGCTAGCAGATCCTCCGAGTTCTGCGATGTCGATGGTTCTAATTTGACCTGCTGCAATGCAGCCATGACGCACTTAAGTAAAGAACAAGCTGAACCCAAAGCAGGCGGTAGGGCAACCCATGCATCCTTCGAGACGTCTGCGAATCACATATCCCTGCACGGCTGGCACGTGGCCGGCTCGCCCTCTTCGGCCATTTTGTCGGAGTTGACTCCCTCTAAGCCCCAACTACTGCCTTCATCATACCGCCGGCGACTGGTACACTCTGATTCCCACCAACGGCTCAAGCACATTCAAGTCAAGCACATTCAAGCACGAAGCCGTCATCCAGTCACCATTTGGCCCCACATGCCCCATTTTTTCGAGCATTTCAGAGAAAGTCGAAGCTCTGCTGCGGAGGCGAAGCACCCAAAGGCTCCGACAGCCGCCAACGCTGCCTGGGACAAGGGACAAACACGGTCCGACTCCCTCTTGCGTATAGACAATTACTACAGTTCATTTGGCTAGTCTATTGTGCTTAGAAGTGAGCTGGGAGCAACTCTCAGACGCGATCAGCACGCATCTGCCCCGAAGCCCAGAAAGTTCTGATCTGTTTCGAAGCAAGCAAAGCCCGAAAGCTCATTGCAACAAAGAAATCTCACTTCCCGTTTGAGTTCATCCTGGCTGCTCGTCTCCGTCGCTCTGCGGCGCGAAGAAGACGTTCCCGTCTTAGAGGGGATTTGAGGGCTTTATGGCACATACAGGTGCAAAGTAGGATCCGCGTCTGCGTTTCAATTGCATGGGCATGCAAGGTTGAGGCCGTAAAGAATCGGAGCAGTCCTGCTAACAACTCTGATCTAAGCTCGCTGACCTTGCCGAGGTCAAGAGCGTTCAGGCTTTTAGGGCCAGTCTGGGTTGCGTGGGCGAGGAAGTTTGATTCGCCAAACGGTCATACGAGGAAAGGCACACCTATCCACTTGACACACTGATTTTCTGAAGCAGTCTAACTATCTCTAAAACAAGCCATCCGACGGTACTTCATAATGTCCGAGCCTTGCTTTCACTGGGAAATCGGAGATACTGTTCAAATCCAGGTTGCCACTTTCCGTGAGATACTTTGGTCTCGGACAAGTTGTACGGATGGTGAAGTGGTTCACACTGGGCTGGCAGATGTTCCTTGGACACCGTGTTAGTGGCTGCGAAATTCACGTGGCATTCACTTACACCAAGACCGCGAAAGGCCCCAGGCGCCCCCAGACACTCTCTACTACAGGAGTGTTACAGATCTCCGCAGCACAGCGCGCTTCTTGCGTTTCTGTACTCCGCTCAGGTGTCTGATCATCGCACATGGCCACAGGCTCCAGCTTCATGCAGATGTTGCAAAACGGAGTCCTTGGCGGGCCCGCGAGAGATGAAACAAACCACAGAATAAGACTCTTGCTAGGATGCGTGGCGGGACCACTTCTTGATTTCAACCATGGCATTTTGCCCACTCGGATTGGCAGTGAAGGAGGGAGGCCCTCAAAGTTGGTGCTCGCACTCACTTAGGCCACTCCCGCCGAGCGTCAGCACTCCGTCCGTGGAGCAGTCGATGTCCATCAGCTTGTAATGGTCGAGCCTGAGGTTTTCAAGCTCAGATCAGTGAGCCACCAGAGAATGCTAGGATACTGAATCAGAACAAGCCTCATAAGACGGTGCAAAGTGCACCATGGTCTGTTGGCAGTCTACTGTATCTAATTAATACCGTCATGTAAGTACACCTGAGTTCAAACCCCTTTCCTAAGGATGCGGTTGGACTTGCGAGTCAGGCATCACTTGCAGCAGCGGCTGTGGCTCGTCGTTGGGGTCTTTGTGCGGCCGCTGCCTCCGGCTTGCCGACTTGCACTACGTCACTACGTAAGGCGGGCCTAGAAAGCCTAAGCTATTGCAATCGGCACGAGAGAAAGAGCTTTGCTGTGGTGCATGGGAGAGGACATGGAAGTTGCCCATTGAATGCTGGCCAGCCGCAGGACCAAGCATGGGGACGCTTTTCCTCCGGCTACATCCTGAAGGGAGCGCTTCAAGCTTGGCTTCATGCCTTCAAGGTCTCAGGATGAGCAAGGTCCTTCATGAAGGGGTCTGCATTAGAGCATTAGACAATCAAAAGCTCCCAAATCGCGCCCTCGTGTAGTCTGGCGAGTAGATGTATGCGGGGCCGCTGCAGGAAGAGGACCAGCATCGCAGCTTCCATCGAAAAACCGGATTCGCAGGGTCCTGACACCAAGAATTTGCTGTTCGGGTTCAGAGAGCACCCCTCCCTCCCCCCCCCCCCCCCCCCCGCCCCCCAGCCAGCCAAGCAATCGTGGTGATGCAAGAGAGGACCGCCAACTGGGCAAGCCTAAGTACGCAGCATAAGCCTGGCACAAGAGCCCTGAGATCATGGAAACCAGGCAGGGTTTGGGACTTGGAGAAACTCTGTAAAACCCGAAGTCGCAGGCCCGGCGGTCGCCAAGAAGTGCCTTCCTCCAACCCCTTGAACCCTTTCGGCTCTTGAGCTGCCCTATGCCGGTGTCGGACTGCCTCGAATGGCAGCTCTAGCCGGTGATCCGACGCCCAGTTGGTGATCTGCCAGAGCATTCTCAAAGCTTCTGGAAACGTAAGTTCTTCAACTTTCCGTGCTCGAGCTTGTAGAAAGCGTCCCTGCAACTGCAAGAACTGCGAGTTCAAAGCTTCAACGGCGGAATCTAGATTCAGGGAACTGTAGGCAGCTGATTAAAGATGGCAGCGTGTAATGCATCTGCCTGCCACAACGTTAAGACAGAACCTCTAAGCCCGATGAACATCGAACCCGCTACAATCACAGCTCCGCTGGAGACCTCGAACGGCTCGGCATCCAGGCTGTAGGTCTTTCGAAACCGTGGCGGAGGAGGGGGCGCATCCGCCTGCGAGTCGTCCTCACCAGCGCACGGGGTCACCCGCTCGAGTGCAAATTCCAGAACAACCAATGACCGAGTGGTGATGTTTTTCGCTGCTCTTCTACAGTACGCCCATAGTGGAGTCATCCTGAGTCTACCCAGGCTCATGATCTGAACAGGTCTCAACCCTGCAGCAGTGCATGCACGGACGATTCGACGATGCACTCCTGAGAAAGCTCTTGGAAGGAGCTAAGGCAGGCGGAGAAGGCGTGAGACAGCGGCATCCCATGGACTCAGGTGGAGCAAAACAACGCCACATGTGGGAAGGTCGCAGAAAATTCGCTGCAAGTTTGCTTTCTTTTGAGTTGTGCACACTGGCGGGATCTTGTATTTTTGGAGCTGAAGTGGGCCATGGGCTTAGCTCATCGCCGGGCAAGGCCATGCACTAACTCACTAAAATGGACATGTCGCAGTTGCGGGTTCTGTAGTCATGCTCCTTGGCGGCATCCACTTGCGTACTCAAAAGACGCGCAACGCAACGTGGCGAAATTCTAAGTCTATGCACCCCGCCTATGGCAATGGGAGTCATAGTCCCGAGTCAGTTCGCTTTCCGTCTTAAGGTATCCAGGGTTGCTCGTAAGAGCGTCGGGGTTGGGCAAGGAAACGTCGCTCGTTTCTTTCGAAGAAATGCGTCTCAGTCAAGGGTGGTCACAACCGGCTTCGGCCTGATGGTGCGCAGGGCAAGGTGCGGACCATGGTCAGCGAGCCCCATGCGAACAGTCGAAGTTCCTTTAATGGACTATACGGAGTGTCGCATGGACATGTAGGCATTAGCTACTTTTCAACATGGATTGCTAGGTCGGAATGGGGTTTTAACGGTACGTTTGGGCAGCGGCTATTGCGAAAACGGGTTGGGGCCACCCTCACAAAGCCAGGCTCAGGTCGCAAAGTCGCAACGGCCTCGATGAGCTCAAGAGACAGGCACTAACTGCCATGACATGGAAAATGTGGCTTCACTGCGGCTCTTCGAAAGTAAGAGCAGCAATGCATTGAATTACTTGCCGCCCAATTTCTTGGGCCACTGACGATGCTGCAGCCACTGCAAAGACGGATCTGGTCATGCAGAAGTTGTTGTGAAGCACTTCGCTTTATCGTGGCCCCCGTACCGTCCCGCCAGCATTGCGCAGAAGCGCAGCCAATCACTGAGAGCTGACATGTCAGAGACATGTCCGAAGGAAAAGCTTGCGGCTTCATGCAGCGCCGCTTCGTGCTCGAAAAACTTCAGGAATTCTAATGGGGAGCAGAACATTGGAACTCACTCAAAGGTGCGCGCATCTCAGGGCATATGGGAGTCCAAGGAGTCCTCGGAAGGTGAATTGGCGAAGCAGTTTTTTTTCGAGCCCCAAGGAGGGCTTTAGGCGAGAAAGTCTTGAAATCACCAAGGAAACCTTCGATTAAGAAAGTGTCTTTGAGCTAGTTGGCCCACATTCTCAGCTGACTCCATTTATCTCGATGCAGCTCGCCTTTGACCACCAAGTCACATACAGGTCGTTGACACGCTTCTCCACGGCTGCTGGAAACTTCTTCCGCCCGCCCTCCTTTTTTGGATCCATGGCCTGTTCGGGTTTAGGGTTTAGGGTGTTTTTGCCACCCGCCTAGCAGACCCCCTCTGGGTTTAGGGGTTTAGGGTTTAGGGTTCAAGTATTCTGTGTTGAAGTACATGCTTCAACAACAGAACTGCCTCGAACCATGTTAGGACTGTTAGGAGGGAGGGGTGGGAGCTGGGTGGCAGCGGAGGGTGAGCGCCTCTCCGAAGGACAGGCCCACCGGAGCTCTCGCGGCGCTACGTGCCTCGGCCGCTGTTCTAAAATTCTCTCACCGGGACACATTCTTCGCGAGAAGCGCTGATTTGGGACATCTTTTAGCATCTTTTGAGGAAATTTCCAAGGGAACCGCAGTCCACAGTGGCCCGAAGCCCCGGCCCTAGACGAGCAGGACATGATGTCCAGAAGCCGGCTCGGAACTCAACACACCTTGCTCTTTGGACTCTGCGACTCTGCGAGCCCATGGCAACTATGGTGTGCCTGAGGATCATAGTTCCTTGAGTTTGGGCGAGGGGAAACCCTGGCGCTTATTGGCATTCGATCAGCTTCGTGCAGCTTGCCATTGTGGTGGGTCGCCGAGGATGGCATGGCGTGATGGCAGCATGGCATTACTTGCGGCCGCGCTTCTCCAGTCAAATATGCGAGAAACACCTACACTACCTACACTACACCGTGACGTCCAGCTACCTGGTGAAGCAAGCCAGGCCCAGTCGGCCAGATCCGCATTTAAGAGCTTCTGGGGGGGGGGGGGGGGGGCCATCATTCTGCTACCTTCGGCTCATTTCACACGAGTGAAAGTTTATCCCAAAGCAAAGCACCGCACCTCTCCAACTCCAGCTTTGGCATCTTCTGGGGGTGGGACCAGCCTGGTCAGGTGAGAAAACGAGCTCCGGAGAAAACGAGATGTTGTGCCTGTCAGACTCGAGATCCACTGCTTCGGCAATGCAGTCCGACACTGGCCAGCAGGGCACTCGCTGGTACCATGCGACTATGAACTACAGCACAAAAACCTCAACCCAGCCCGGACTTGAAGTGCCCAAGCCCAACTTGGCCTGTGCGTCCACATCGCCAAAGGGAAGAAGTGTGTGGTCGGGCCTCCACCGCGTGCAGCCTGAGGGTCAAGCACGCAGCCCACCTTCTGTGTTCAAGGCTTTTCGGCTGGCGGCGCAATCTAGGCAATAACAATGCTGCCTGATGCCAAGCCATACTAAAACCGGAGTCGAGGAATCGAGGTCTGTACGCCACTGCCTTTGAAGATTGAATCGGGGCCGCACGCTGGCTTAACCCAGCTTCCCTCGGTGCCCAGTGCGCACCTTCTGTGCCAGAAGCGAGAAGAGGCCCACGGAGGCCTCAGCTCGTGTGGTCTCTACACGTCAGTTTGTGCTGGCCTGCAAACTTCTTGTTTCACCTTGTACTATGCGAACAATGCTCAAACTTCCCCTCCACCATCCTCTCCACCATCCTATGGCAACAGCACCTCATGCAAACTCTGGACATTTTTCTGGACGGAGTTCATCGCTGCATCACCTCAAGTCCTATCGGACCCCTGCTCACATCCTAGAAGACCTTTCACCTTTTCACACCTTTCCTCCATTTCCTTGGCTTTGCTCGAGGCCGGCGCCTGGTCAAACTCTGCTGGGCCGAAACGACCCGTCTCGGGTCGCCTTTGCGGATCGGCGATTAGAGGCCCTTTTGCAATCTTCCAAACAGCTTTTCGGCATGTCTAGACACGTTTAGACATGCTGAGAAGTAGACCCTATAGACTTAAGCTTGCAACAGGTCAATTAAGGGGCTTGGGCCTCAGACGCTTTAGGAAGGATGCTGCCCAGGGGTTTCGAAGGGACTGGCGTTGAATGTACACAGCGCAAGTGACCTCTTCGGCGGCAGATCGTTGATGCTTTGAGCTGACGCTTGGCTTCTTCTGAGTGATGATGAGAAAAGCCTCAGCCCTAGTGCAAGAATACCAAGAGGTCAGCCGTCCTTCGGTCACGGCCGCCCGATGGCGCGACCCAGAAGATGTGGCCTACAGGGGACCGGACAATATGGAGTAGGGCCCTAGGGGATGTCGACTTGCAGCAGGGTAACCCCCAACCGGCCTCCTTCCTTCATCAGACGCTGCATCTCCGACACAGTCCTCTTGGGTCTAGGGCTTCGGACTTCGATTGAGCTAAAGGAACTTCATTACTGTTCTTTCTGTTAAGGTCCCTAAGGGTACGGATTCTGTGCCTCGCCTGCGCAATACCTGCCAGGCCCCCCGTCGTCACACAGAAGCTACTGGCCAATACGGCCACGTGCATCACGTCAGAAGCCATATCTTAAACGCGATCCAAGAGTCTTCAGAATCCTTCATAACCCCTCAAGTGACTCTTCCCTTCCATGTCTGAGCTGAGAGGCTTCTTGTTGCGTTCGGCCTTGGCCTCTTGTTCCTGGCAGGGACATGAGGCCAACATCTCGAGGATCCCCCAAATCTGCCCTCAAACCGAAATCCGGAAGCCTACTTACCGAGGCACATGCCCCATGAATAACTACTACTCTCGAAGAATCACAGACGGAAAACAAAGACGCTTGATTTCCAGAGCCCCGCCCATTTGCAACATTGTTCGGCCGCACATGTTAACTCGATCTTGTTGAAATAGATCGGCTTCGAAATGCTCTTCGGCGGGTTACTGGGAGGAGCGAAGGGGTCCATCAGACCGGAACCAAGAGGTCTGGCAGCAGCCGCGAAACCCTCCGGCGAATCAGTAAGCCATCAAAGACGGCATAACTTCAGACTGCCCAAAGCACTACAGCAGCAAGGCACCTCTTGTGCTGGTTGAGACCATTCAATTCAAGAGGGCACGGGCAAGTCACCCCTACTGACAATCAATCAGCTCCTTGCTTGACCTCTTGAGACAAAGCAGAACTTTAAATCACCGGCACTGAGAGGCCTCCTCAGTGCCCTCGTCCAAGTACTTCTTGGAGTAAATCGACAGCAAGTACCGTCCCTGGCCTGAGCTGCTCACCTTCTCCTTGCGCTTCTGCCGCTCAGTTGCACAGTGGCCTTCTGTGATGGGAGTGTAAGGCGTGAGAGAGTTTTTCAACGGCTCAATGTTGCCAGGGAGCTGAAAGGTATCGCGAGGCGGTCGGTGGTCACCTGTCGTACGCTCACAAAGTTCTCAATAAATGGCTGGGCCAAGTCCGGGAAAATGTTCCGTGGGCAAGGGCACTCGCCAGACTCGTCAACGTATCAACCAGCCTGGTTCATTAAAATAGCCTCTTGCTGAACCTGGTCTGTGTTCTATTGGCTTGGGCATGCATGGCAGGGTCACACGGGCCACAAAGCAGACTTCCGTCGGATGTGAAGCCGGATGGAAAGGTCTGAAGCCTTGCCTTGTGCCCCGCAACGAAGATACCTCAGCGCGCGACATGATCCGTAACAGTCAGCTCGAAGGCAAAGGTGACATGTGATGTGTCAGACGCGGAAGGCTTTTCTACATCCAGGTCTCCGATCCGCTAGCCGGGCAAGATGCAGAAGGCTTAAACTCATAAACCCCTATAGCCAGCCCTCAACCCGAAACCCCATTTTTGTTACCTTGGCCGTCACGGCCCTCACAAGTAACTGCAGGATGCACTTCTCGGCCACTTCTTCGCATCCTTCTTTCTCCAATAGAAGGGACAGCACCTGTCGACTCTCACATTTCACGAACAGCCCAGCATTTGGAGTTTAGGGTTGAAGACATGCTGCTACATCATGCCCGGCAAGACGACACAGAAAGATGCCAAGACCGGATATGTTTGCAACCAACATAAGACAAGGCAAACATCAAGGGCTTGGCGCCTCACTTCTCGGCGCCATTGGTACCCTCGAAGTGGCGTTGAATCTAGTCTGTGCAAATACACACCCCATTGTGGACCACAGATGACCACCGCGAATATACATATCAGAGGCGGAATTGCCCATCAGAGCGAAGAAATCCTCGGGGATGGCGCGGATCGATGGGTAAAACGAAACAAACGTTGCGAGATGAAGAGAACGCTTGGGCTCTGTGGCGGTGGGGCTCGTGTTTTTGAAGGTGCGTCTCAGCAGTTCTTTCAAGCAGATTTTGGGAACCCACAATGCATTCTTCGGCTTCCTGTCCCCCATTCCTGCCACCTAAGGTCAAAGGCGCACTCGAGGTTTGGCTGCAGCAGGAATGGACGCTGTTGCAAGAGGTCCGTTAAATTAAGCATGTGCATGCATGTGCAGTTTGGTTTTGACCCCAGAACTACACCAAAGCTAATCCCTACTCTTACACACTCTGTGTGAAAGTGAGTACACAAGTTGATTTTAGACTGGTTGTTCAGCCTGCGTACGTTGCACTGGGATTTGTCCAGTGGCTGAATACACATTGCGCACGTTGTGGAATTTGACGCGTTCTATCGGGGCTTTCCAAGCACAATTTGGTTTTGACCCCGCGAGAGGTTGCTTAAAGTTCAAAGCAGCACGGCCTCATTGCTTGGCTGCCTGCTTGCCTCCCTGCTAAGCCCACATGCCTTGTCTTACCTGGAAAATCAGGCACAAGGAGCCCGGCCATCTCCCAACATCCCAAGCGGATAGCGGATGCCCCCCACATAATCACGCACCTGCGGATCTGCTTCGGTCTGGTGGTTTGCAAGCAGCACCTGCAGGACAAAAGGCATCTGGAACTTCCCCCCAAACGGGTGCCCTGGTGTCACGGGAATATCCATGCTCCCTGCTGCCCAGGAGCTATGTTGTCACCTTTGGCGAGGCTTTGACGGATGGACTCAATGTTCTGCGAACCCTGCAGCACTGTGGCGACGAGCTTGTGGCTTAAGGTCGGGAGTTTACGTGTCTTGCCACAAGCGAAAGAAACATCGTGGCTAAGATGCTAACTCCAGGGCACGGAGCCGTCGCCAAGGCGCGAAAACATTATGCTACGTTTGAGAAGGGCGTCATGACCTTGAATTTCAGGACCCCTCTTGGGATTAGTTGGGGTGGTACGTACTCGCTCCACGGCGAGACCCTTGCCCAACGCTGCAGCACAAACCCATACGTGAACCCAGCGCACCGACCGTAAGTTCCCAAAGCTGCTGCCAAACTCACAGAGCCTCCACGCGTGTGTGGCGCCACTTGATCATCGGACGAAAGAAGTTGTTCCCCCAGCTGTAAAGATCCAGCTCCGGACCTTGCAGCTGCATACTGGCCCGCAGGTCTTTCCGATGTCTTGAAAAGCAAGGAGGACAACTCCTTGAGCACCGACTAGACTATCTAAATCTTGCAAAATCTTGCAAACTCCAGTCCACCAAAATGTTTACACTTGCCGGCTTGCCGGCTTGCCGGCTTGCCGGCTTGCCGAAGCCTCACCCCACAAGATCCCAAACGACCTTTAGAAGATGGCGGCCTCGAATGGCCTCGTGGTAGGGTTCAAACTCGAAAGGTTCCTGCGCCAGGGTTGTCTGATGTCTGGCTCTCGGCTGAACCCCCCTATCTTAACGGCCCAACTCGGCACCGAGCAGAAACAGGGCACTACACTACCGATTCTTGCGTCCCACACTTCCAGGCACTAAGGGAAGCTGAAAATCTGAAGCAGCCCTCCGCCACATTGTCCTCTCACCGGCGGAGCCGAAACAAGAACTAGACTAACTAGACAAGACCTGAAACTCCTGCTGCCTCAAACCTCAAGATCAGCTCTGCAAGAAGGTTCAGTGAAACTGCAACACATACCCTGAAACCACGTGAACTGCACTACCTTCCCTGGCTGCAAGCACACCTGTTCCTGAAACAGACCTCGGTGACACAAGGACTGACCACCTCGGTGATGTGCGCAAACTTCCTGGTTTAATATTGGGAACCCCTGGAGAAGCTCTCGACCGACTCCGGGGCCTCCGCCAGCACGGAGTCGAGAAGCAAAGTCAAAGATGTGTTCCTGAACTGGAGAACAGCTCAAGCACACGCTTGCATGCGATCACTGAGGCATTCGACATGTGGTCGGGGCCAAGATTGGGAGGTTGCTTTAGGATTTGAGATAAGATCCAAGCTCGCACGCGCGATGAGGGGCACATTAAAAACTAGCGTTACCTTTGCTTGACCTTTCCAAAAGCCAGTTCTCGACTGGTGCATTTTGGGGCTTTCCTGTTTCGGAACGCGAGGCGGATGAATGTTCTGCTCAACGCTTGAAACCACGAGCCCAACTTTCTCAAACCCTCACATCAAGTCCTTGTGGGTTTTTCAACCCCCCCCCCCTTCTCAGCTCAAGAACGAGCTAGTATTGAATGCTGGAAGTGACCACAGCCCTCTCGCCACTTGAATCCCAAAAACAAATCTCTAAGCTGATGAGGTGCAGGAGATCCCGGTACTCCGCCGGCGGGGTCCTTGCAACGACGTGGCTCCTGGGGGCTGAAGCGAATTATGTGGCAGAACACCTAGTTCCGCTTCAGCTTCAGGACTTTGAGCTTTGAAGTGGAGGCCATGGGACAAGGCTTCAAGACCAGGCCTGAGGACCCCTGCTACGAAGTTGCATCGAAGAAAACGCCTCTTGAAGCACAGAAACACCTTCGAAGGCCTGCAGTCCTCATGTAGTCTGGTAGAAAAGTCTTCAAGGTCTTCGCCGCCCCGCTCCCACTCCTGATCCGCACGGCTGGGGGCTGGGGATCCAGGCCTGAAAGCCTGCCGCGAAATTGCCCGGTGAAGCTTAAAACGAAAACGCACAAACCTGATCCGCATGGAGCTTTGGCGATTGCACTGAGGAAGATGCTTTGCAGTCCCCCACAGGGGGTCTCCCAGAATATTCACCCAACGTGCGACGAGTGATCAAAGCATCGCCCCTGTCGCAGCTCACCCCCTGACTGCGCGCCAAAGGAAAACTTCTCGTTCTGTGCAAACAAGGATTTCGGGCTTCCCCGGCGTAAGGGCTGAAGGGATGGTGCTGTACGACATGTCCACAAGTGCTGCCGAAACTCTTGGAACGCTCCTCCGAAACCTGTCTTGACTTGGCGCGGTCCTGCCGGCCGCCATCTGATGCATTGATTGCAGCTCTGAACGAATCTTTCTGTGTCTTCTGATTGGATGAGAGCTGCCAGGCACCCCTGAAGCCAACAAGAATCTGGTGCTGAATAGTATTCCGATCCCCTCCAGACATGGCCCCAATGCTTTTGCGTAACCCCCTTCCCCGCTCATCGTCCTTGGCACGCTCGGCAACGTCCTGGTGATTCAATGGCTCAGTACGAATCGGGGGAGCCCTATGATGTGTGCAAGCATTGGTCTCGATTTTGCAGCACGACGCAAACTCCAAGGCAAGTGCCGCACACTTGGACAACTTGGATATGCAAAGTGTCCCAATGTGTCTTTGAACAGTTCCCGGCACACAGGCATTGAAGAGCAAGAAGACGCGCCATGGTCGCAGTTAAACTCTATTAAACTCCCCTAGACTCCTAGTCCCAAGGATCTCTGCCGTCCTTCGTGATCGTCGCAAGCCGAGCAAAGCGGTATGGAGCCGTCACAATGGCCCCAACGTCGCCAACAAACTTAGCTGCGGGTCAGCTATCTCAGCGCCTCATTGCAATTTTTTTTGTTGCAGGATTCTTAGGTCCGCGGTTCGCTTTCGGCTCGACTTACCCTCTCCTTGTTGCCGCCTGCAAGACAGGATGTCAACCCAAGCCGAGACCAACCCTGAAACTTCAGAAAGCCTGGAATCAGCAGCTACTATAAACGACCCAAAAGCACTGGAACACTCATTCGTTTCGGAGCGCCCTGGCAACGAAAGTGCCGCCACATCCAGATGCGGCAAATGCTGCAATGGCTGCAAGGGCGACAAGCCTCTCGGAATCTCGGAAGGCATCTGCGACTTAGAACATCACGATGAGATTCCGGGGCTTTTGAGGTTATTTGGCCCATTGGCCCCTGAAGAGCTCAGAACAAATCTCACTGCCGCGGAGAGCCTGCGCGGCGCACGGTGCCAACTCGCGCCAACGGGCATAGCGAACTCAGGTTCCCAGCCCGAGGCCGCCAAAGCCCCAAAGCACCACGATCCCGAAAACAACACCCAATCCTGCAATCCCAGACGACATGGAGAAAGCTTTGAGGCGCTGCATCGCAAGCCCCGACCCAGAAAGCTATACGGAAGGTGAAGTTCGAGCCTTGAAGTTCCCCCAAACTGCTTTGTGGTCGTGACTGACACTTAGCTCTCGCATGCTGTCGTTTGGACTTGAGTGGATGCTTTACAGCTGCGTGACATCGAATCAAGCGACGTGGGCTACCCAGGACTCGGTTGTTTCATTACCTCGCTGCCCGTGAGAACAGACATGATGTGCAGACATACGCGAACAAGACTCGGCCTTAACGCCGGAACTACAATTAATCTGCATGCGGTGTCAAAAACAAATCCACTACATTTCCGAGCCTCCAGGAGTGCATGCAGCAAAAGAACTCAAGAATTCGGTGCGCGGTCCCCCCCAAGCCCTGGAACCCTCCCACCTTCCCCCAGCCCCCAAACTCTCGCAACCGCTCTACCGTTTCGGCCTGGCCCAGCGGCTCAAGGGAAGAGGCCTGGCCCATCACGTCTGTGGCTCCGGCTATACCTCTTTGGTCTCTGAATACATACAGACCCAGAAGTAAGCCGATACTTTACGGAAACTCGAAAGGGCCCGAGACCACTGTGCATCTCGGACCCGAAACCTGCAAGCAACCCAGCCTACACTGTAGAGAGCCGACAGACGAGCACTGTGGTCAACGCAGAGAGTGGTCGGGCGCAGTAGGTCTGGGGAAAACTGAAGGCAAACACCTACCCTTCTTATGACACCCTATATAACTTATGACTCCCACATCCATACAAAGTCCCTAAACGCACATCGAGGGCCCTTTTGCTCCCTGCCCTTGGTCAAGAATCACGTCCTCTCGAATGGTCTCTGACATGCTGGGTTGAACAGATTTCTCAGTGCTGTATGGACCTGTTTTGGTCTCAAGTCTGAGTGATTGTTGAAGCTTGGACAGCTAGCCAGAGTGACGTCCAGAGAAACGGATGTCGTTCGCATGGCCGGGGTGAAACGCGCTCCAAGCCCTTCCTTTCCGTTGACCGACTTTGGCAGGACTGCAGGACCTATAGACTATAGAGTGAGAGCAGGCTCTTTACTCTTACACTCTTACAAGCAAGTAGCGAAGAATTCGAAAGCCTCGCTCCGATCTGTGTGTCACATGCTTGTGCTATATATTTATGTATACAGTGAACTCAAAGACGTACGTCGCATCACGCCCCGAACTTCCCTACGCAATCTAGGATAGCAAACGGGCCAGAAACTGCTGCGAAATCGAGGATGTGATTCGGCCAATTTGGGCGGCTGAAGTTGAAGGACCTGCCGTGGCGATCTGGCGGCCTATAACTTGGCCATCTTCAGGCTTACTGGCTGATTGGACGTCTGACTTGGAGTTTGGGGGCCCTTAAATGCCTTTTTTGAGCTCTGTGTGGGGGGGATTTAGGGCCTCAAGATGGCTGTCCCGGGTATCTCTCTTGCTCTCTTGTGAAGCACGGGACGTAGAGGCTCAAGGCCGGCCTGTAAAAAAAACCAGCATCTCCTCATCGATTTGGGCATGCAACGCAATGCAGAGGAACCCCGATAGCAAGGCACCATGGAGAGTGGCTTTCAAAAAGGGGAGCTTCACAGCAAGAGGGTTGATGAACCTCATAAAGGGCGCAAGATTTCCCTACTTCCTATTTTGGAGGAACTGTACGGAGACATGCCCAAACAGACTCCGAGCTGCTGACGTCCACTGCGCCCGAAGAGAGCGCATCGTAGTCGGACACTCATCGGAAGTCTGGGCTTGCCGGATGCTTGGAGAGTGCTTCGTTCCTTGACAATCCGGTGGCATTCTCCTGACTTAACCCAACACCTTGAAACCCAAGCCGCCCTGAACTCTAAGACCGCCCTTGATGCGGGCACCATCCGGATACACCAAATGTCAACAAAAACAAATTCGACCAAATCACCCCTCGAGGTATCCGGACAGGAGGTATCCCGAGCCAGAGACTCTGTCCTGCGTGAAGTTGTTGCATTCGTATTCTACAGCTTCTACAGCAGCTTCGACAGCTGCAGCACCTGCACCAAGCCCATGAAGCATCTGAAGCCGTCGCTGGGCAGTGGTCTGAGCGCACGTGGCACCGCATGGTTCGCTCCTTTGGAGCTCGAACTTCTCTTGTGCGAATTGCTTTGCAACGTGGGATGCAGATGTGGCCCGATTGGACGAAAAGCTGCAAATGGACTGCATTTAGTGGGCTTTGCGTCCTGCTGCTCGGTCCAAGGGCACACATCTGACCCATTCAATCCCCCCGTTGGGCTCTTGAATTTTCACAAGCAGCCTGCATGAGTTTGGGGGGGGGCGGGGGCCAGGCGGCCACGGGCTTTGTTTGGCCTGCAGGACGGACAAGCCCCATGACTTAATGACCTACTGCAATAGCTGCCATAGCCCTCAAGATGACTTCCATAAGTCCTGAGAAAAAATCCCCGCAAGACGAGGCTTCGACACTTAGTTGCCAGATGCTGCCAGCTGCCTCTGTCAGACGCAAACGTAGACGACCTCATCCTCGATCCCGTCCTGGACAGCACGTGCACACTGTGTCCCTTTTGAAGCGCAAGATACTTCAAGCAAATATTGGGAAGCACAAGCTGGCTTGATGGAACCACATTTTCTTGATTTAAGGAAGGGGCGTCAGACAATTCTGCTGTCGAACCGCACCGTTTGCTTCTGCAAATGCACAAGGAATTGATAACACCAACTTCTCTGGGAGGAAGGCTTCGAAAAGTCGAACCCGCCACCATTTTGCCCCATCGCAACGCACAAGACTTGCTCGATTGCACCAAGTCGTCTAGGCCCCTGGTCTTCAAACACAGAAAAGCCGTGGCAATCGATCCGCCACCCCTGTTTTGCTTCGTTGCAAGACAAGAATGTCAGGATCACCTGGGGGGGACATCACCGCGGGGAAACAGGAAAAGGAGCAAGCGTTCGGAAACATCGTGGCAATATTCATACCCCTGGACTTTTCCTGCCCTGGCTCTTCCAGGATTAGGAGCAGGAACACAATAGCTGGGCCCACACTGCGCCGCAAGTTTCTGACCACAACAAGGCGCTGTTTCATCAGGCTCCCGTGGCCGCGTCCAGACTCCTTGCCAGCCCTCCGGTGGAGGATGCTTCCTTGGTGGGCTGGGCTTTCAAGGTTCAGGGTCGGAGTTGTGGTTGTGACATCCGAAAGGGATTAGGACGGAGCCCCCCGCGAACGACAACAGCTGGGCAAAGAGAGGACTGGCACATCCCTCCAAACTCACGCCATCCGATACTGGCCCAGAATCAAGTTCCCTTCATCCCCGACCGTTTGACTTCAAGGCCCGGGGGCATGTAGTAAGCGGCCCTCTTCCTCATGAGGACGGAGGGCTTGTCGAAGATCCCAAACGTCTGGCCCATCAGTGTGCTGACCTTGCGCACCAGATGGCTTTACGACGCGCCCGGGGCCTGAAATCTGAAAGCCAAGTTTGGAAGCCTTGCCTGCTTTACATCGTGTCTACCAGCAGAAGACAGCCTTAAAGAATAGATCAGCCGACCCAAGACTTCAAGAGGACCCCCCTGGAAACATCCAGCGTGCAACGGGGGCCTCTCTGAACTGCGCTGCCGCCCTGCTGAATCTCTTCTCCGTATACATGTCCAAGGCGGTCCTGAGCTACTGAAGCTACTGTGCACTTGGAGTTTCAGGGGCTGGAAGAGGCTGCTGCGCCTATTCAGATGTCAGCGGTTCGTGTTCATGGATGAGCATATTCTGAGCAACAGCCAGGTCTCAGACAATGGCCTTAACTTAAGGTGTTCAAGCTCACAGAGGACTCTGTAGGATTTTGTGGTTCTGGTGCCCTGCGGCTTCTTGCGGCAAGGGTTCTCATACTTTCGAGCCAGCATGTCTCGCCGGGTCGACCTCCCGTGGCACACTCCGAAGCCAACGTAGCAGTGAATGGAATCACATGCTGTGCAGCCTGAAGACTCAAGAACCATTTGAGGCACTCAAACCTTGCAACCTTAAACTTCCCTCATGCAGCCTTGTACTCGGAGAACCGATGCTCGCGATTTGGCTCATGATCTGGCAGGGCGTGTGCACAAATTAACAATTAAGTTCCATGAACAACTGACGGGATGGATCGAACACAGCGTCATGAGAAAGAGAAAGAGAAAGAGAAAGAGAAAGAGAAAGAGAAAGAGAAAGAGAAAGAGGAAGAGGAAGAGGAAGAGGAAGAGGAAGAGGAAGAGGAAGAGGAAAGGACAGAGGCAGGGAGGGAGAACAAAGTGAACAAAGAACCCAGAACCTGCGAAGCACCTCCAAAGAGATGCCAAAACCAAGAGGCTGCCCCCTGCTCTACAGGACGGGAGCTTAAACGCCCTGCGAGGTTTGCTACGCAACATTTTGCATGTTTCAATCGTTACACAGGGGCTGTGCCGCAACTGAACTTGCCTGGTAACCATGAGCACCTCCTAGGTGGTCTTGTGGCAAGCCCAAGGGCACCATACAGACGGATCGAGACTTAAGAAGTGTGCAAGGCAATCCGGCTTTCAACCTTGCAATGCAAGGTCTGCCTCGTAGACTGGCTCTGGATCGTTCACTCCGTGCCTGCAGCAGCTTCTCTCTCGCTCTGTCTCACTCAAGGCCGGGGTAAGGGCTTGAAATTTTGAGTTCCGATGTAAACAGCCCATACACCATACCCGTGCTGTTGCTGGAGTGACCTGCCTCCCCCCCCCCCACAGTCGTGCATCCTTGCGGCATGTCGCAGCACGGATTATTGGGGCGACGAAGGTGCGGGCTTCTCAAGCTCCAGGCTTTCATGGCAAGCAACCCATATAGCTTGTTAAGTACATACTGTAAGTAAGTCTGATATCAATGACGGAGGGAGGCATGCACCGCTTGGCAGCCATCAAGGAACCACTAATTATACTCGGACGGGTCAGGGAGTGCTTCAGAGCTTTGCTACTGCCGATCCATGCCCGAGCACCCGTTTGGATGACTTGCTCAGAACTGAAGGTGTGGGGTGTGGGGATATCTTAGGGTGTCTTTCTCTGCCAGGTAGACTTTACAGACCCGGTCGCAACGATTCAGATTCCGAATCGTCTTATCCAACATGACATGCACCTGATTTTCCCTGAAGGTTCACTTGGTGAAAGAGCGGTTCATCGGTTCAGTGGCCAAGGCACGACATGTCCACGAAGTCGATGGGTCTCATCACATACCTGCACAGCAAGTCACTCTTAACTCTTGACCCTGCGCCAGCACGGTGACTATGGTTGAACATCCAAAGCCAGACCTCCTCTTCCAGAGTTAGCCGGTTCCAAGAGAACGGTGCAGCTGGGGGGCTCATCTGGTGGCAACTTGTGGAATGTCGACTCAGAGATGAGGTTGTGGGTGCCGTAGGTTTTGTTCATCTCCTGAAGCTGCCGAGCCGATGTGGAATCGAGATGAATCGTGTGCATTGTTCAGGACATCCCTTTGCTGCAGTTTCGAACTTGGCTTCGTATCCGTTCATCCC